ACCACTGGTCCTGTAGGGATCATCCGCCCTGGGTTCCCTGTATTTCCAGTTCCTATCTGTACCAGTGTACATCCTCTGGTCTAGCCAGACTAAACAATTAATTTTAAATGATACACACTCGGCTACATTTTTCTTTGTGGTATTTAAGTATGTATAAACAAGCAAATTAAATATTTTAAAAGTTTAACTTCAAGGAAACTCAACAAAGCCTAGCAAGAAGGAAGATAATAAATTTGAGAAAATAAAATGTGTGCTTAATATTTTAACCTAAGTACTCTGAACATGTTTTTATTGGTGAGAATTAAGGAAAGGAAATATAATCTTCCAATTCTAATTCTATAGTGAAAATATTTTAAGTGCTTTATAGAAAGACTGGTGTTTATCTTGATGTCACTGATGAGTGTCATGATATTATATAGTACTTGTTGAGTGCCAGGCATTGTTGTAAGTATGCTGTATATCGCATTTCAGTTTATCCTCAAGCTTGCCCTATGAGGTAGTTACTATTCATGTTAGGCCAGGTTTTTTGAGAAATAAAACCAGTGACACTCATCTATGTATAATGAAATTTATAACAAGAAAGAAATGTAGATCAAGAAAGCAGCCCACAGAGTTGAAGACTAGTATGCCCAGTCTGGCTCAAGTCCATGGATCAGCGACTAAGCCAAAGCCCCTTCTTAATTCATACAGCTGCCAGAAGTGAGGGACCAGGAAGCTAGAAGATGAACCAGGAGGCAGGAGGACAAAGCAGGAGGGGGGAAGACCACAGGTTAGTGAAAGCAGAGTCTAGTGGGTCCAATATCAGCAGGCAGCATGACAGGCCACACACAGCTCTTGGGGTCACCAAGCCACACAGTGGGCCACTGGTCTGAGTACGAAGTGCAGGGTCTAGGCTAACCAGAAGAGGAATGCAAGAGAGTTCTCCACAGCATCTCTTTTATGGACAGCAAATAGGCAACACTCCCAAGAAGACATTAACGGACTGTGATTTGGGTGAGACTTTGTGCTCCACTCGTCTTCTTACTGGTACAGCCAAGTTGACACAAAACTTACGTTTCACACTATTAGCCTCTATTCTCATTTTATAGACTAGGAAGCTGACACATAAAGAAGTTAAATAACTTGCCCCCAAACACACAGTTCCTATAGGGTTGAATTCTGAATTTATTCTCACAACCATTGAGTTAGTTTATTGTGCCAACCTGGCCAATAAACACACGTGGGATTAATTGAAGGCCAGAGGGATAAATGGCTTGGTGGGCGTCGCCTTTCGAGTTCTCAGGGCTCTTGTTTTGTGATGGTTGCACCAGGGTGCAGCTGCCTCAGCAGTTCCCAGCTTTAGCTTGCAAGGCTGACTTCCTGCAAGACATCCCCAAGGAGAAGCCACATGGACCTACCTTGATGCAGCCCTAGGTGCTGGAGCAGCCGAATGGAGACTCCTGCCAGCGCTGAGATGCTTACATATTCACTGACTCGGCTTTCCTCCTACAGTCGGTAATATTGCGTCTGTTTTGTGAGATGGAGGAGGAATTTCTGGATTGGTGTTGGACATATGGGTTAATGTTGAATTGTGGGCTTGGGCAGCACTGGGTTGGGATTAACCTTTATATAAAACTCTCTCTTTTACATGAGTTTCTGTGGATTTGTTTCTCTAAAGTACCCAGATTAATATATTATGGTACCTTGGCAGTGGGGTACTGGAGAAACAAATCATAAGATAGAGAGTAGATGTTTGTTTGACCTCTCCCT